GCAACACATCCCTGCCCCATCCCATAAAGCCTGTGCTGATTTATTTTTTTCATGGTGTTGTCATCATCTGATAGCTATGTATTTGTTGTTGATCTCCCCTCTCTAGAATGCAAACTTTGAGAGGCAGGGGATTTTTATCTTTTGTTCAATATACTACATCCCCAGCATCTCAGTCATCCTGAGCACCACAGATGGTCAGTAAATATTTGTTGAATGGATGGATGCGGGAGGGTTCTATTTCTTGAAGAGTCTTTCTCACTAAAGTCCCCTTTCCTAAACCATTTTTCTTGTTCCTCTCTCTTTATTTTTTTAACCCTGCGGTAATTTGAGACCTTAGAAGAGTTATAAGTGCTCCTACCCCTTAGAGGAGCTAATGAGGAAAATTACCATGATTTCCTAAATTGAGACTCAGGCTTCCTAAGCAAGGAAGTTTGTAAACCAGCAGAGTTTACCAGATTTCAGGAGGGAGGGGAGGAATTCTTACCCTTAGGAAGTCACACGTTGGGGGCCCTGCCCTGCGGTTGTGACACTGTGACAGTCGGTGTCAGGGCCTCAGGGCCGTGCCAGAGCCAGACCTGCTGAAGGCTGACGCTGGGATCTCCAGTTTGCTCATTTCCCCTTTTTCTTGTATTCAGTCTGTATCCTCAGCCCGTGGGCCCATATTGAGTGCGGTGAGCAGTGCATCAGGGTCCAGCCTTTCCTTACCCAGGACCCTAAAGGTTTCTTTTCTGAAACAGCCTCAGAGGAAAGGAGGGATGAGATGGACATGAAGGGTCGGGGTGAGATCAGATCAGGCCTCTTATTTCTAGCTGAAAGTTCCAATTGGGATCTGTCCAACAGATCCTGTTGGGATCCGAGAGTAGGAGGGAGTCGTAGAATTTCTGGACCACTAGGAGTGAGTTTTAGACCTGAGGAAGATGGGAGTTGGCTAAGAGGGGACTTTGGGCCCCCTAGGTACCAGTAGGGGCTGCAACAGGGACAAGAAGGGAAGTAAAATGCCCTGTAGGATTTCTGTAACTGGTTTTCCTAAAGCTCCTGATATGGCTGTATAGGAGGGGCCAAAATCCTAGTGAATTGGAGACGGGAGCGTAATATAGCTCTGTGGCTATTGAAAAGTCGCAGTACTAGCAGTAAGTAGTGAAGAGCTACTAAAAGAGGTTACATGAATGTAGCAGGAAGCCTAAAAAGGGAAACTAGAGGAAGCTTCTGATTCCTCATTGTTGTATCAATAATAGTTTGGAGGGAAGGCAGCCTTGGCACGCAGTTTTATAGTGGAGAAAGCCACTTGGTGAAACAAAGGGAAATTCCCATGGGCATATCCGTAATTCAGAAAACGAAGCTTTTTGCAATCCGGTGGGTGTGAGTTTAGCCTTCTGGTCTCGTTTCCCAGGAGATACGTCCACGTTTCACACCTTGTGCCTCAAATACTTCCACCACGTTCACAGTTTAACCTTGCAGGGCTCGACTTGAAGCTTTTTGCAGGACGCTCAGTCAGAATTCATCCCTTTCTTCTCCTCTGTGTCGTAATACCCTGTGTTTATAACTCTGTTACAGCATAATGCTCGGGGGAAAAAAAACCCCATATATCTGCCTATCTCCCGTGTGTGAATATAAACTCTCTGAGGCAGGGGCTCTGCCTTACTTGTCTTTGTACTAGCTCAGTCCTGTTCTGAGGAAGGAAGGACGGGTGCATCCATTCACGCCACCCCCCACCCCCGCTTGTAGTGCCTGGCACATGGTAGACTCTCCATAACTTCCTTGCTGAGTAGAATTGATTCTGGGTTCATCAGATGAACACATTATACAATAGACTGACCTGTCTCTTCTTCCCCTCCTCGCCCTGGGCAGTGACCCGCTTCGTGGCTGGTACACCTTGCTCCTGGCTCAGTCCTGCTTGTAGCAGAGCACTACTATTTGCTTTTCTTCATCCTGAGTCCAGCCTTCTCCCTTTGATCTCTGCCGCCCGCTGCAGCTCGCCCGCCATTGTCTTGTGCGAGAGCTAACGTGTCTCCTTCCCAAGCTCAGGCCTTTCCACCTCTCTGCCCTAGCGTATTCTGAGGGCGACGCCCAAGCAGTCAGTGATGACGGGGAACAGCTAGAACAGGAGTAAGGGTATGGCCTCTTAGCCCCCGGGAGTTCCAGGTAGGGCTACTGCCTCCTTTTTATCTGCTTACTTGTTTCTTGTCACCTGAGGGAGCTTGTTCCTGAGCTGGATGGGAATATAGTCAGATGATCTGTGATGCGAGGGGTTCAGGGCTGTGATCCTGGGAAAGGCCGTATTGCCTTTTTGATTAAAATTCTGCTGTTCAGAGAAGTAAATAGGGTGAGTGGGCCCTGAAGCCAGACTGTCTGGATTTTCATCCTGCTCCACCACTTCCTAGCTGTGGCTACATCAGTAAAATGGGCTCATCCTATAGCCTGCCATGTACATTCATTCACAAATAGTTATTGAACCTATGATGGGCCAGGTTGTTCGAGGTGTCAGGGAAATAGCAGTGAATAAGGCAAAAATGTGTTAATATGTTTCAATACTTAGAACAGTGTCTAGCACATAGTAAATATGCAGCAAGTGTACCAGTATTCTCTTCCCAGTGCTTTTCTGATAATGCGTAGGTGGGATCAGCTTTGGCAGCAGCTGCAGGACCAGATCTCTCTGAGAAGGGGAAGGCTAGAGGGTGGGCTAATACATCGGTTCTGGATTTGGACTTAGGTTCAGGACAGCACTGCCTTCAGTGGCCTTTTGTTTCTGGCACTTCTTTTGAGACTAAATACGTGAGCTGGCTAAAGATCACCCTGGGAAATTTATGAGTCTGTTTAGTTCCATAGAAAGGGCAGGAGGAGGTGACCCTGGACTGCCTAGATTCTGCCTAGGCCATTTGTACAAACAGCACAGTGCCTACCAAGCCATGTGTGGGTGACCCCAAGAGAGGCCACATCTCTTGAGCAATATGAAGGGGGGTCCTAGATTCATGAGCTGTAAGGAAGGAGAAGAGCAGCTGTTGGCCTCTTCGCTGTCAGCTCTCTGGCTGTAGAGTAGAGGACCTTCTGCTGTAGGAGGTGGCTTGGGGGTTGGAGAGCTGAAGCTAGGAAGGAGAGCGGGGTGACGTAGAAGTGTGTGGCTGAAGGTTTGCCTTCCCTGTTTCAGTTCATTCCTTGGGGAGGGCTGCTGAAGAGGGTTACGCTCCTACTGTGATTACTGGCTAGAAGGAAAGTTTGGACTCAAGGCTCCTGATTCATTGTCTGTGGTTTCCAGTGAAAGTCCAAGACTGATAATGTCTTTATGGGAGTAGGGTTGGAGTAGAAATGTTTATTTCCTGGGGATCAACAAGTTTTTCAGCTCCCACCATGCTGAGGGAAAGATAACTGTATCATCTTGACTATGGTTCAGCAACTGCCTCACTGATTCCCCCACCTTCTGTCTTCCATCCTTCTCCCACAGTGGGTTTTCAGAAATGAACGCCCTTATAGCCCAGAGAAAGTGCCCTTGATGAGAGATATGGGCCAATCCAGGATTCTTGGGTCGGTTCCCATGTGAGCTGCTGGCGTGAATTCCCTTGGAGACCTGCTCACTTGGCTGGGAACCATGATTATTTGCATGCATGGGGACAGATGAAGTCGTTCTGGGCCCTTTCCAAGATTCTGAAATGCAGCCAGGTTCAGGACCACTGGACACCATACTCTTTCATCTCTCTCTCTCTCTCTTTTTTTTTTTTTTTTGGCGAGGAAGATTAGCCCTGAGCTAACATCCGTTGCCAATCTTCCTCTTTTTGCTGAGGAAGATTGGCCCTGGGCTAACATCTGTGCCCATCTTCCTCTCTTTCATCTCATTTTTATTGCACTCTCTTTAGCCTTCAGCCATTATTTCAACTCAGGTCAACCGAGGATATGAAACTTGAACTAGGCAAAGCATGTAAATCCACAGTTCATTCCGTAGTGAAGGAAACAGATAAATATAGTGTGATTGTAGCAGTGTTTCTCAATATTTTTTTCATTATCACCTCCCTAAGGAACCTTTTAGGACATTTTTTCTTAATCACCCCCCCACCCCACCCAGGAAATTTTTAGTACTATAGATACACAAAAATTCTATTTATGTTTATGTATATCTGTGCTTTTACTTTAAAGATTTTATTTATTTATTTTTCCCCCCAAAGCCCCAGTAGATAATTGTATGTCATAGCTGCACATCCTTCTAGTTGCTGTATGTGGGACGCGGCCTCAGCATGGCCGGAGAAGCGGTGCGTAGGTGCACGCCCAGGATCCGAACCCGGGCCGCCAGCAGCGGAGCGCGCACACTTAACCGCGCTAAGCCACAGGGCCGGCCCTGTGCTTTTACTTTAAAGAATAAGACTTTTTTCATCCCTCAAGAACCAATTTTCACCCGCAGTGGGGGGAATATCACCCCATTGTGAGTTCATGGATTATAGTAAAGCACAGGGAGGATCACAGTAGGGAATATGAAATGTCAGGTAAGCCTCCAATGCTTTGCAAACTTTATTTCCTCCATCTCCTCTGACTGAACATCACAACTTCATAATTTTTTCTTGTCTTTCATTCCCATTTTGTTCTCTCTTCCCTATCCTGGATTTCATCTTTTTTCTCTCTTTAATGTGGAAGTTTAGGAATGAATTTAATTAAAATAGTAATCTGTACAGCTCAGGGACAATTTAGGGAAGATGATTTCCTAAAACAGTCCTCTAAGAGGTCATCCCTATGGAAGAAGAGCCTAGAGACCTCTGGCGTATTCATGGGAAAACGTAATAGACCTCAGTATTGGGAGAAATAAAGATACACGTTTAGAATTGCCTTTCAAAGGGGGATACCTCCCTAGAGGTCTTTATATTGGTCCTAACAGACTTGGATATGGATGCCCTATATCGGATCTAACTTCTGTATATGAATTCTTTTGGGGTTGATGCCAGTTCTGCCCAGTGGAATATCAAGTTCCTTTTCTCTGGCAATGCAGTGTAACCAATGACAGCATCTCCTCTCCCCTATAGAAACTACCAGAGGCATGCAGTGTTGGTGATGGGAGACCCTTTGTCATGAATCTGCAGAGTCTGTATTTGGCAGTCACCAGGCAAGAGGTCCAGGTGGGACAGAAGCATCAAGGCACTGGTGAGTAGCTCCAGGGTACGTGGTCTCCCTGAGGTTAGGGTCAGGGTCCAGGTTTCTGATGTCCAATATGGTGGCTCTAGCCACTTATGACTGTTTAAGTTTAAATTAATAAAAATGAAATAAAATGAAAAATTCATTTCTTCATTTGCTCTAGCCACATTTCAGGTGCTCAGCAGCCACATGTGGCTAGTGGCTACCAAGTTAGACAGTGCAGGTACAGAACATTTCCATCACTGTAGAAAGTTCTATTAGACTGGTCTAGGTGCTTAGGAGAATTAGTGAGAGAACCAGGAGAAAGATTACTCTCCCTACCTGAGCCACGTCAGGAAATGTGTAGAAGAACTGTTGGCTATTTTTCGTGTGTGTGGTGAGGAAGATTGGCCGTGGGCTAACATCCGTGCCCATGTTCCTCTACTTTATACGTAGGACGCCGCCACAGCATGGCTTGGTAAGTGGTGCGTAGGTCTGTGCCCGGGATCTGAACCTGCGAATCCCGGGGCTGCCACAGCGGAGCACGAGAACTTAACCACTATGCCATCCGGCCAGCCCATGTTGGCTATTTTGAGTCAAGGAAACTCTTGTCCTGCTTGGTCAAAGTGGGTCTGGGGACTCTTCAGACTCAGAAACAGGGTTTTCTGAAAGTCAGCTGGAAGTTGGATTTGTGGCTACTTCTGGCTATTTGTATATTAGAACCAAACCCTGGCCTTTATCAGAATGCCAAGGTAAATGCCAATGTCTTTCTGGTAAGAAGAAGACATTTATCACAATCTTCCCTTGATCTTTCTCATTCAGAAGATCCTCAGACGTCAAGCAGCGCCTCCCCGCAAGGAACAGATAGCCAACTTCTGAACCAGCCCGAAGAGCTGATCTCCTCAGCACCATCCCTCCCAGCGCCTGAGAAAGAGCCCACAGTGAGTCATGAACAGCTTCCTGGGTGGTGTTCTGACAATTGGAGGAGTCTGTGCCAATAGCCCTTAAGCCAGTGGTCCCTGAAATTGCCACCTAGTTGATGCTGCCTTAACAATATTGGGGGATACTTGTCCCAGGATACCAGGCCTCCACATTCTGGATTTCTAGATGGAGACTCATGGTTTTTCACGTCTTCCCTTGCTGTCTCCTCTCTGCAATTCTTGTGCTGAATGATGGACCTTGACTCTTTTTCTACCTTATCCCACTTCTGGTGATGGTCTCTGAGGCTGTTCCCTGGGGGAGAAGGGATGTACACATCTCCTGCACAAGTCTCACATCACATTCACTGCCTGACATAGACGTCAGAACGCCTGTGTCAGCCCCTTCAAAAAGGCCTCATCCTAACCAGAGCCACGGAAGGCAATTCCTTTCCTAACTTAAGAGGAACTGTTCAAAACCCCTATTAACTTGGGTTACTTTTTTTCCTAGGGTACTTCAGGCCCTGTGCAGAGACCTCAGCTGTCAAAGGTCAAGAGGAAGAAGCTAAGGGGGCTCTTCAGTTAACCTATTGCTGTCTCAACTGCTGAGGATGGACTTGGAGAATGATGTCACCTTGAAAGGAGCTCTGTGGCAGCAGTATCTCTGACACAGTTATATAGTCAGAGGCCCCACTGAAAGAGCAAGACAACTGAGGTTCATGTTGACAGGCACCTGGGTACCGTTAACCGAGGCAATCTTGGCTCCAACCCATCGGGCATCGGCCTTCTCTATCCAAGTGGAAGCCAGTCTCTGGAATCCCATATTCTCCTCTTTTTTGATGGAGGTTCTCTAGACACAGGACCCTACCATGGACTTTAGGAATACAAGGCAAGTCAGCAAAAAGGCACAACATGCTTAGGAAGCCTTGTCTACCTCTCTCAAGAGTCCCTAGCCATCCCAGGGGCTCCTCAGAGACCCACCTCTTTCTTTAGCATGGAATAAAAACCACTCACATTCCCTTGCTTTTGAGAGCACTTATTCTGTGGAACACGTAACCCACTTGACTTTACTGGGTTCCACCCCGTTGTGGTCTCTGGATGAAGTCTAGGCCCTCAGTCCAGTCCTTCAGCTTCTTCTTATGGTCCTCTGCGGTGGCCTGTGCTAAGCCTCCATCCGGGGCTTGATCTTGAAAACTCTCTCCATGGTGGGCACAGGGCAGAACAGATGGCTGCTGCTCTCCTTTGCCAACTTGACGTAGGTTTTTTGTTCTGTTTCCAAGGCATAGACAATAGGTTAGCCCACAATATGGGACTGAAATTATGAAGAGCTCCAAGCACTAGGATCAAGGTAGTTTCCCACTGGAGTGAGAGAAAAAGGAATTTTTTTTTTTTTTTTAAAGATTTTATTTATTTATTTTTTTCCCTCCAAAGCCCCAGTAGATTGTTGTACGTCATAGTTGCACATCCTTCTAGTTGCTGTATGTGGGACGCGGCCTCAGCATGGCCGGAGAAGCAGTGCGTCGGTGCGCGCCCGGGATCCGAACCCAGGCCGCCAGCAGCGGAGCGCGCGCACTTAACCGCTAAGCCACGGGGCCCGCCCAGAAAAAGGAATTTTACTTTCCCATCCTTCCCTCCACTTCAAATAACATGGTAACTAGAAGAACCGGGAAAGGTGGGATGACAGGGAACAAGAAATGGCCATAGGAGTTCCCTAGGACAACAGAATTGACCTATAGAATGAATAGTGCTTAGCAAGAAAAAATAGAAAGGCTGTAGGAGATAGGCAGAATCTTAGACAGTTAGAAAGTCAACTCTTTGGACAAATCTAGCAAGATGGAGCAGACCAGGACTGGCAGAGTCCCTTGGCCTTCTCTGCTAGGTTTTCGTCTATAGGTAAGACCTTATGAGACTTTACCTTGGAGAGACAGGAAAGAAAGGAGAACTCAGATGTTCACTGGCAACTGTTAGGCAGAGGAAGGGGTCAGGGCAGAACCCACAGGGGCCTTTTCTGGTTTATTTACAGATGACGGTCAAATGCCTGCTCATCCACATGTTCTCTCTACCTGGGACTGGTGTTTCTGTCCTTATGTCAAGTCATGTGAGAGGGGACAGTCCAAGCAATAATAATGATTATAATAAGAACAACAATAATAGTAAATTTATTGAGCAGTTAATGTATACCAGGTACTCTAATGAGGGCCTGACATTGACTCCTCACAGCATCATGTGAGGAAGATTCTGTTAACCCACTAGGAAGTGGAGGCTTGAAGTGATTAAGTGACTTACTTAAAGGTCACATAGCTAATAAGTAACAGCCAGAATTTGAACCTGGACAGCTGAGTTCTTAACTGCGTTATTATGTACATTACTGAAAACATTTTCCAGGAGGGATGTTAGGTCCTTCTCGCCTGTCTCCCACTGTAACATCCTTCTCCTGTGACCCTGCCTCCTTTCAATAGGCTGTTCTTCCCATTGGCTCTTCAGGGCAGGAGCCTGTGAGGACTCCGGGACTGGCCCCCGTGCCTCACCTGCTGGTGAGCTCCTGGGTCTGCTGGAGCTCCACCAGGGCTCATTCCCAGTTGCTGCTGGTAACTTTCTTTACCTCCAGACCACAGTGCCCCAGGGTGTCGTGACTGTCATCAAAGTGAAATGGGAACTATGTAAAAATCTATCAGATGGCTCACTTCATTCTTTAGTTTCTTTTTGGCATAATTTAGATAGTCAGATTCCAGTGTCGAGATATGAGACCACATGGAAAATGGAAAGACTTCCCCAGCAAGCAAGAATATAGGTTCTTTGTCCTAGATAATCCATCTGCCCTAAGAGGACAGTCTCCAGGGCAGGCATTTTTAATCATAGTGGGATCAGGGGTTTGTGAATCCCCCAAAATTGTAAGGAATATTCTAAGAGCATAACATTTTTCATGTTCTCAAAAGAATGTATACTTTTTAAAAGGGTTAGGTAAGAATATGCCTAATGACCTTCCCTTCCGCTGTTCCCTTTATCCCCAAAGGTGGCTGCCTCCGTGGGGATCTTGCCCAGACATATCCTTAGAGAAACATTGCTCCCAGAGGCCCTGCTTGAGGCGTCCTTGCCCTGAAGCTCTTACCCCCAAAGCTAGGAGTGGTGGTTGAGAATCATTCATCCCAGGGCAAGTCCAGGGAAATCCCTGCCTTGACAAATTGGCCCAGCCCGGCTGTATTCCAGCCCTGCCCCCTGGCTTGGGCCCCTCCCCGAGGCCCCCAGCCTGGCCCAACCCCCACTCCACATGCACATAAAAGGGTCGAATTCTCGTGGCTGCTCCATAAATTTTATTCCGTAAATATTAGTTTTCCCTGTGTTTAATAAAGCAGTGGCCCACCTCCCCGCCTACCCGCCCGCTCCCCGGGGCCGGGGCTGGGGCCAGGGCTGGCTGGTGGGAGAAGGGACTCTTTCAATTGCTTTGGAGTATTTTTAGAAAAAAAAATAATATAAGGTGGTTTACACGAGCAAGCCAGCAAACGAGGAGCAGGACTAGGGACCTCGAGGAAGTTCCTGCAGGAACTTGACCTAAAAAAATAGAGAAATAGCGCCACCTAGGCTGCAAGGCCTACTTGGCCTTGCTGGCTGGTTCACCCCTCCCCCATGGTCACCTAAGACAGGCCAGCTCTGCTGGAGGAGAAATCTTCATCCCTTAGCATTCCAGCTGGGCAGCACCTCCTATACTCAGGCCTCACCAAGGGCTTCCCCAGCAGCCCTGGAAGGCAGAGCCCATGCTGGGTCCTGGAAAAGCCCACGAGGGTCATTCTCTTTTCTCCTGCCACCAGTCAGCCAGTCTCCCAGATCAAGGAGTGTTTCCAAAGGATAGTAAAGTTATTGAGAAGGGACAAAGGAGCTTCTAGTCTCTTCCCACTGAATCCTGAGGAGCTAGCCCTGGAATTCCTAGGCTGTAAGGTGGCAAAGAGTGAGATCTGCTCCTATGCTCTGGACGTGAGAAGAATCTGTCGCTGTCAGACCCAGATCCTTCCAGGGGCCTGATGCAGTTCACCTACATGGGCACTTGCGGGGAGGAGAGATGCTCGAGTCTCCCGAATACTCAACCCTACTGCTGCTTAGTTTTATCGCATGGAGCGTTTGAACTCTCCTTGCCGTCCTGTTCATTTAAACCTCCCATTTTCCGAAGCCCTGACCTCCTCCTTCGCCCTGGTCTGCTGGGAGATGAGCAGGAGCCCCATGTGTCATTCTCTGTGCAGAGATGGCAGGAGGAGGGGGATGGAAAAGGCCGTGCTTCCTCCTGGTCCTGGATTTAGTCTCATTCTTGATGTTGTTGCTGGGGCATTTTCTTCTCTCCAATTGTGTCCCTCAATTCCTCTTATTTACAAAAGTAGGAAATTTGCTCTAAAGAGTATAGGGAAACCTAAAATCCTCTTAATTACTGTTCCTCGTGATGTGGTAAGCTCACTCTTATTTGTTTCTGCCTATCACCTCACTATCTGCTATTGATGTAATCTGGTGTATATACACATGTCCTATGTGCTGTGTGTTTCCATCCTTTCCTTAGATCTTCGAGATCTTAACCCTAACTCGGAAAATACCACTGTGGGGGTCTTATCCTACTAAAGGGTGCCACTTGGTGTTAACTGGGTTTTTGATACAATCAGGATATGCTTTTCTAAGCTCTGCCCTGAAGTATTTTCTATCTTCTAATTTTCCTGAAGAAGAAACTGTTCCAAAGGAGTAAGTGACATGCTACAAGGAAGCCACCAAACTCAGAGCTCAACGCCTTTGGCTCCTAGTCCCTGTTCTGAGCATCAGTAAGTGTTGGCTCACAGAATTGTAAAGGATGATGCTAGGCACTCAGATACAGAGAGAAATGCTGGAGAGAAGGGGCCCACACTGTGGAGGGAGGGTTTTCCTAGCTTCTGTGACCTCCTGGGAGCTGATAGAGAGCACTCTTGTTGAGGGCCCCTCATTGCTCTATTTTTCTTCCCCCTGTCTTGGACAGGGCCTCAGAAGATCCCACCCTGCAGGGAAACATCCAGAGAGGGGAGGGCATGAGGTGCTTGTCTGTGTGTGAGGCAGAGGGACCCTGGGGAATTTCTCTCTGCCTGACGAGCTCCCTCAAGTAGAGGTTTCTATCTATCCTCTTTCATCCCAGACCCTTTGGGGAATACGTTCTCCCCTCCTGAGACTTTGCCTTACCGTGGCCTCTATGCTTCCCCTCAATTCTGGGGCCTCATTTCTGTCCCCTGGCACATGGAAGTCATTAGGTAGCCCCAAAGCATTCTAGCCAAGTCTCAACCACTCCTCCAAACTGTGAAGTCCTGCCTGCATTCAGTTTCTCTATCCTGGAGCCCAACTGATTTTGTTCTGCTTTCCACACTCCTGGACCCTTCCGAGTGAGGACTAGCCTCCCGGCACCCAACTCTTCTGAGTTCCTGAGACTCTGGGCCAGCCTAGGGGAACCCGGAAGAGGCACTGAAGAACTCCAGGGTGTGGGGAGCACACAGCCATTGACTCACCTGGGAAGACTGTGCCAGGATTACTCGTCCTGCTGGGCCAAGGGCCAGGAGTTAAAGGAGCATGCAGTGCCACACTCTGCCTCCCTACCCTCACTTTGGGGCCAAAGCCAGTAGCAGGGTTAGAATCGGGGAGTAGGTTCGGGCACCACTGGGAGTCCCTTCTGAGATCTGGGTGCTGTATTTGCTTTTGCATATTGGCAGCTGGAAGGGGAACCCATCCCAGCTCAGCATTGTTGTCTAACACGGTTAATCAGATCCTATAATCCTGCTGTGGAAATATTGGGCCTCACTCAAAACAATAGAGACCAAGAATATTGTGGTTAAATTTCAACCAACTGCCTCCCTGGCCTGTTTGCCTAACCCCTACCCCCCTCTCCCGGGCCAGAGTCCTCCTCGCTTTATGGACCCCTGATAGGATCGACAGCCGGTCAGAAATCGGTGACGGGAGAAGGGAGAACGGAGTAGGGGAAGGGTAATCTTCTTGCCTGGCACTCCATCCTGCCTCCCCTCCGAGCCCAGGCCTTGAAGGGTGAGCAGGGGTGGTGGTGGGGGAGCCTTGCAGGGTCGGGGTCTGTGTTCAGGGGTCGAGAGCAGTACTGATGGGAATCCTGGGTGGTAAGGAATTCCTTATTCGAGACAGAAAAAGACTGCTGCCAGATGAGAGGGAAAGACGTCCAGTTTCATTTATTATTGCTGCCTGGCGCTTTCAGGGCACAAAGCAAGACCGTTTGGTCCTATGTCACATATGGGAGGAACAGGAAGGCACTGGTTGGGGGAAGGGGAGTTGGTAATGAGGATTTCTGTTTCATTAGTAACCTGATATAACAGCAATACAAATAATAATACTCTGATGATGTATGGAGGTGATACTGATGTCTCAGCTTGAGTGGTTCTCTGGTAGTGGTGATGTCCATTATGTTGCTCTCTTTAATAGGTACTAGTTAAATGTGGCAGGATAATTTACATAATTAGAATAGCAGGACAGAGGGAATAGATAAGCTGTACAATGGCATTTTGAATCAAAAAAAGATGCAGTGTCTGGATTGTGCTAATGGGGAAAATTAACACGGTGATATGTTCAGCAAAAGGGAGAGAATGTTCCTCTTGCAGACACGAGGGCACCAGGCTTGTGAAGTGGCCGACTCCAAGTTTGTACTTGGCCGTTGTGCACCCCGGAGGCACTGGGCACAAATTGCAGCCACCCTGCTTTTGGAGGTGTCACCAGTCACCGAGGTGAAGTACAGTGAGGCCCCAGCTCTGGCGCCGTGGACTATTGAACGGTCAAAGTGTATGTGGGTGTTTAGGATGTGAAGAATGAAAACAGCAGAACTGTGCCAAACGAAACTGTGTTTACTTAATCTGTTCATATGGGGTGCGGTGGAGCCACAACAGAGAGCACTTGATGTTTCTCACCTAGGGTGCTATGTGATCATTCAGGCACTGGCATGGCTCCTGTAGGTTGTTCATCAAAGCCATTTGAAAGCAGGAACTGCTTGCTGGGAGGTGAGCTTCCCACCAAAAAGACATCTGGAAAATAATTCCTGGGAATGAGAATCTAAGAGGTATGTATGCTTCTGGATAGCAATCTCAAAAATAGCTTAATGGCGGTCATCAAATGGAATTCAAACAGGTATGAAACTGATATCAGAATCATCTAAATGTGACAGAAAATATGTCAACAGTTAAGCAACTTGGATAATCAATGGGAAGAATTCAATGGGAAGAAAGACCCCCAATGGAAGCTCCAAGAATGGGCTATATTCATGACCAGGAAGAGGGATGTAAGAAGCCAAGTTGGTTGGTTAAACCTTATGCTGTGCGTAGATTTGAACAAATGGGAAAGTCCAACAGGAAAATTCCAGATCACTACAAAGGAATTCAAAAGAATGGCACAACTTTGTAGGAAATGTGTTGGGAATGAGATAGAAAACCCGTATTCAACAAGAAACAGGAATAATTAAGCACACATTCTCTCAAATCATATCTATATATTGGTGGCTTACTCACTGGCATCCCCACCAACAGGGGCATGATGCTACTTGCTGTGTGGCCACAAAGACATATCTCCTGATTTCGAGAAGCCTACAATCCAAAGATGATATTTAAAGGATCGAGTTTTTCCCCCCCAAAGTTTTTCAAGTGTATGAAGTAGAAAGTGAGAGCCATGTCTATATGTAGATTTTTATAAAGTTGGAAGAATCGTATGTATAAATACTGTTTTGTCACCTGCTTTGACTTTTACTTAACTATGTTGTGTCTATATTTACAAGTCAGTACATAAATCTCTTTAAAGGGTAAATTGTCTTCACTCTGACCTTTATCAAAAGTTTGAAAAACACCCTCATAATCAGAAAGTAGAAAGTCAAGCTTACCCACTCCATTTTCCCCCAGCTTCATCTTCCATCACGCTGGTCTCTTTGCTATTTCTCTAACAGGCCAGCACAGTAGGGCCTTTGCTCTAGGCAGTTCTCTCTGCCTAGAATGCTCTTCCTCTAGATATCTGCTTGGTTGAAGCCCTCGCTTCTTTCTTAGCTTAAATTGCACCTTCTCAATGAGGCCTCCACTTAACAGAGCCCACTTAACAGAGCCACCTGCCTCCTGGCCTCACACCCTCCCCACAGGCTGATGCACCCCCGATCCTGTACCCTGTTTTATGTTTTGTCCTCATGGTCCCTCCTTATTCCCATCTTACACATTATATACTTTACTTATTTTTATACATTTTTTTAATTGTCTGTCTCCCCAGTGTCTCCCCACTGGGATAAAGCTCCATAAAGGCAGGAATCTTTGTCTTTCTGTTTTTATTGTTCTCTCACATCCCAAGCACCTCGAACAGTGTCTGGCACTTAGCAGGTGCTCAAAAATACGTGTAGAGCGAATAAATGAAGAAAGATGATCACTCAGACCCACACGCCTCTACACTCTTGAAGTGGTTTTAGGTATAAGTGAATGTAATCTTTTTTTGCGGGGGGCAACCAGTCATAGAGTGGGAGTGGGGGTTAAATACCCTTCTGTCAGCTATCACCATAACAGAGTGAATTTGTCATTTTGCAGAAACTGACAATACAGGTGGCCTAGTGGTTAAGTTGGGCGTGCTCTGCTTCAGTGGCCCGGGTTCAATTCCTGGGTGCAGAGCTACACCGCGCGTCTGCAGCCATGCTGTGGCGGCGACCCACATACAAAATAGAAGATGATTGGCACAGATGTTAGCTCAGCGACAGTCTTCCTCAGCATAAAATAAATAAATCAATGAAAAGCAGTGACTACAGCTTCTTGCTTTCTTTGGGTCTAGATCCCCAGCATCCTTAGGGTGCTGTCTCCTTCAAAAGAGATGGTGAGAGTGTGGGTGGACAGTACAGACCCAGTTACAGGAAGCTGACAGACATGGCAGAAGCACCTGTAACTATTAAAAGAGTGGTGTCCCCTCCCCCTTTACGGAACATTCACTGGACTGGTATTTTCCAAAATTCTCTTTAAGCAACTAATTTCTTCCCAAATAGAGCCACTGGGGTGGCAATGAAGCCTGTTAATTAGTAAACATGTTATAATCCATATACAGAAATATATGTATGTCTTTCTGTCTGCAAGTGTCTTTCCATCTGTAAGAATTTCCCGCAATCTTTAGTCTCTCTCTTGAGGGGAAAACTCTCTTTGTAACTAATGCTGCCGCCTCTTCCTGCCTTTTCAAAGTCATCAACACATGGTCTTTAATGCTTGAATCTCTCTGAAGTGCCTTGTAACGAGCTTATTGTTTGGACAAAGGTAACTTGACATTCCCATTTCTAATCAATAGCTAGCTTTCAAAGCATTGTTAGTTTTGAGTGGCTCTAATTGGACCTCCAAATGTGTTCTAGACTGATCTGAAGCTTTAAAGATAGTCATGCTTCCATTTCTACATATGAGCCAAAGTTGGTGGAGTTGCTAACCTCTTCAAAAAATCGACGGTAGAAATCAGAATGATGCCAACCCACTGGGGAAATGGTCAAATAGAGTATCCTCGGGGGATTGGTTCCAGGACACTGCCCCCCATTCCAAAATCCACAGATGCTCAAGTTCCTTCTATAAAAGGGCTTAGTATTTGCATAGAACCTACGCAATCCTCCCGTTTACTTTAAATCACCTCTAGATGACTTATACTACCTAATACAATGTAAATAGTTGTTATACTGTATTGTTTAGGGAATAATGACGAGAAGAAGAAGTCTAAGTGTTCGGTACAGACGCAACCGTCGTAGGCCTCTCCATCCACAGTTGGATCCGAGGATACAGAAGCCACAGATACAGAGGGCCGACTCTATGAGGGCTTAAGAACCCAAGAAGAAGGTAACAAAAGAGTTTCCTAGATTTAGGGAGGAAATGAGTGACTTAAACAGAGATCAGCAACCCCGGATGCCTGCCCTCAGACTCACTCACCAAGAAACTGGATTATTATGGAGTCCAACAGGCCTGAATTCCAACTCCAACTCCCTCTCTCAGAAGCTCTGAACCCCAGTTCCTCGTTTGTAAAATGAGGATAACAGTGTCAGCTTCTTAAGGTTTTTGTGAAGGCAACATGAAATATTACGGTTTCTGCCCTTTACTAGATCATCCAACTTGCTCTTCATCAGTGCGAGTGCCATCATCTCTGCTTATGCCCCTGCCTTTTCCTGAGTATCCTCTTCATTCTCTCTCTCTTTTTTTTTTTTTGGTCAGGAAGATCAGCCCTGAGTTAACATCTGATGCCAATCCTCCTCGTTTTTTGCTGAGGAAGACTGGCCCTGGGCTAACGTCCATGCCCATCTTTCTCTACTTTATACAGGACGCCGCCACAGAATGGCTTGACAAGCGGTGCGTCGGTGCGCACCTGGGATCCGAACCGGCGAACCCCGGGCCGCCGCAGCAGAGCGCACACACTTAAGGGCCGGCCCCATCCTCTTCATTCTTTTCAGTCATTCTTCTGCCTCCTTCAAGACGGATTTCTTCCAAGAGGTCTAAGCCGAGGCTAATCGTTTCCTGTTTCCATATTCTTCTAGACCAAGTTCATCTTATCTATTAACCTATCTAGTTTGTCATGCATTATTCTGTGCTAATTTATGAGCGGCATTCATGGCTTTGTAACTGCCTTTTATTTTCATGATTTATCTTTAAGGTTAAATAGGACAGCAACTTGAGGACAACAACTGTGTCTTCTACTTTTCTATTTGCATTCTCTATCCTTATGTGCCTATGATACCAGTGTGCGCAAGGTAGATGCTGGCTAATAGAAAGAGGCAGGGCCTCCTAATCCCTACTGTGATGGGACACACAGACATGAGCATCCTGATGTATTCCCCTTGGAAATCAGAGAGCTGATGCTACCGCTAGTCAATCCAGCAGAGGATGAAAACAAACCACACGTAAGATTTGTACTTTACAGCTTATATTTTTAACCCTCGCAGTAAGCCTGCAAGGTAGGTGATATGATTTTCACTGTAGAGACGAGAAAGCTAAAATTTGGAGAAGTCAAGTGACTTGCCCAAGGCCACACAGTAGAAGGTATCAAAGTCAGTGTTCGGGCACAGATCTGCCAACTCCAGGCGTAGTGCTATTTCTCCTGAGCCAGGGCTGCTGTGCACTGAGTCATTGGAGGATATTTGACTAACTGCATTCCTGAAACTTGTCTGGCTGTGGCTCAGCACCCATGGATTTAGAGCAGGATTGATCTGGTCAAGTGGCAGGATTAGGAGAAAAAAGACTAGTTGATTATAGAAGTGTGGACCTACACAGTGTGTGGGTTTGTGTGAACATACATATGAATATATCACTGTAAGTGTGCTATATTTGTACTATAGCATTAAATTCAAGATTGACTAAAAATACTAACATGGTAGTCGACTAAACAGATGTTTACATTATCAGCTTCTATGGGATATTTTCCTCCCTCTCTTTCCTTCCAACCTATTTTTCCAACTTTCACTTGCAAAAAATTAATCATATTATCCAAAGAAATAGATTTTACTTTGTTTTCTGCAAAATAGAGATGATTGAAGGGTAGACGAGATCTAAAGGTGAGAGAAGAAGAGCGATTTTACCAGCAGGCCCAGATGTGAGGTGCCCTGATCAGGTCTATCACTGCTGCTCACACCCCAGGCCATTGGCGCCTCCAGAGTGGCACACCTCAGTTTCCCAGTTTGACTGGTGGCAAGAGCCTGGCCATGACTAGAAGAAGAGCCAGGCTGTTTGATAGGTCTAACGGACTGGCCCAGTTCAAAAGCTAGCCTACATCTACTGAACAGCTAAAAACATAGACAAGAAATGATCAAGGTTCCTAGGCCCCCACTTGGATTAAAAGTGCTCCAGGGTCACTGCTGTAGAAACGATGATGCCTCCAATCTCTGCCCTCCTCTGCTCCTTCCTCCACTGAAGGAGATTGGGCTGATGCGGATCTAAATTTGAGATTTAGATCTTGAACTGAATCCCACTGTGTCCTGAGAAAAGAGTAAAGCTTTGGAGTAAGAAAAAGCTCTGGCTTCAAATCTTGACCATGGGGCCACAGGCAAGAGCTTTAGAGGTGTAGATTTGTAAAATGAGCATACTAATTGCTGTGCACAGGGGGTTATTGTGAAGATCTTACTAAGTGCTTAAAGCACCTATCATAGAGAAAAAACGTGATCAATGTTAGCCCCCCATCTGCTTCTCTCAGTACACACCTTGATCACTGCTCCTAAGTGAGCCGGGCCGAGGAGGGTCACACATTCTAAACCAGCGAGGCCACGCTGCTATTGAGGCACCAAGCTACATCAGCATCGCATAAGTAATGCCTGTTTGATACTGATCAGATCTTTACCAGTGATTTGTGTTCACGAGGGTCACAGTTTAAGAGGAGAAATGAGAGGAAGAATGGCAAAGCTAATAAATGGTTATCATCTAGAACCTCTGAGAGAATTTTAAAGAAATTATCTTTCACTTGGAGAAAAGAAGATTGAAAGTGATTTCCACAACTCTTCAAGACCATGCATACGGGATAACAAGCAGGATGATGGCTCTAATTACTAAGGCTGGAAAATGAGGGAAGGAGTTGAATTTGCATTAGAGAGGGAGGAAGAAAGAAAGATTGAATTTAGGCAAAGCTTCTCTAGAAAATTATTATGAAGCACTGGGATGGGTGACCATGGAAGCCTATGGGATTTTCTCTTTTGGAGCTCCGTAAAAACAGAGAGCCCCTGTTTATCTGGGCTGGGAGAGGTGCTCACCTGGCTGAGTAGTCTGCCCCAGGAATCTGAGCAGGAGGTAGGTAGGGTGGATACTGCAGGGATAGTTCTTGAAACCTGGAAAACACAAGTTAAGGCACTTGAAAGCTTTCAAGGAAAAGAAGCAACGTTAGAGTAATCTGTGACTGGGAGAAGAATCCGAATGCTAATGTAAGAACAGCAGGACGTGGGGGAGGAAGTACGGGCAAAGGGGAGGAAAGGACACAATCCATTTTGTTTCCAAGTGACAGATGCTACTGCACTCCTGGTGGAGCCATCCTAAATTCCCTTCTGTGGGCCTCAGTTTCCTTTTCTGTAATATGAAGTACTTAGATTAAGCATTCTCTTGGGTTCCTTCCAATTCTGAATTTGTGTTCACGAAATTGATCCAAAGAAAATGTGAGTACGTCTATGAGAAGCCACCTCAGTCCCCCAACCCAGGCTGTCCTGGTCAAGTGAGGTGCAGAGAGAGAGGCCAATGCATCTGCAGGGGTGAGGGCTGGGTGCTGGGGTCAGACGGGGGAGGAGGAGGTTGACTCCTTCCCTGCTCTTCAGCCAGGAGCAAGTTGCTTATCCTCTCTGAACTGCAAAATCTTCATTCGTAAAATGGGGATAATAATAGCTCATTTGGGGTTGTGAGCTGAAATTAGATAATGCAAGTAGACTACTTAGTATGATAATATCTAATAGCTTCCATGTATCAGGCACATAAGTGTCAATAAAACGGTACCTATTGTATTAACATTCTTGTAATAACAATTTTTAAACCTTTTATTTTCTATCTCTATTGAATTTGTAGAATATATTGCAACCAAATCATAACAGTTGTTGTTGGCAGTAGTGGTGGTGTTTTTAACACACTTGCCTTTTCTTGTTTTAGCAGAATGAATCCTAATTCATTCAGCTTTCCTGAATGTCACATTAAGATACACACACAGCCCATGTTTACTTCTCTAGCTGCCTCTACATAGTCTCTGTCCTTTTTAACTTGTAAAGTAGAACTATGAGGGTAGTTTTATTTAGCAGCTCCTATATGCTGGTGGCTTTGAATCTTTTTCCCATTTTGAGCAAGCCCCCCTGCCCCTGAGATCTGTGCAGCCCCTCTTGACCACGGTCAGTCCGGGTTCCTCCGGTATTCTGTTGATGCCACCATTTAGCTGTTCTCCTCTACACCTTGGCATATCCCTTTGCAATTTCATCTTGCTCCTTTTAACAGTGTTGCCAACTCAAAAACCCCTGTTTGACTCCTCTAAGCCTGGACGCCCGGCTCCCAGCTTCACACCCGGCGGGCGGCCGTGGGATGAGCACCGGGGTGATACAGAATTCAGCTCCACCAAGCTGAGAGGGCGCGTCTCCTGGGCCAGGGTGGGGCACCAGGTTATGAGCGGCCTCCTGCCTTTTGGGTTTACTTCCCCGCAGGGGACACCGTAGGCGGCTATGCGGTCCGGCCACTGCCCCCCGCCCCTCGCGTCCGGCCGCGCCGTGGGTTGCGGTCTCTGTGGGGGTGGCAGCTCCTGTCCGGGAGGTTAGCGCCTGGCGGGGCACCCCGGAGCCGCGGGGAGCCCAGAGGCGAGGCCAAGGCGGGGTGGGGCGCGTCCGGGCGGGGAGGGCAGACTCAGGCAGTGCAGGGGGCGCCGAGGGCGGACGCGCGGCAGAGGACCGAGCGGGACGAGGGCTGGCTAGTGCCGGGGCCGCCCGCCCGAGGGGGAGGAGGCTGTGCTGCCCTTGCTGCAGGTTCGCTGTCGAGCGCACAGGAGGCAGGGACATGGGTAGGGTGCGGTCTGCGCGGGGCCCGAGCCCGGATCTCTTCCATTTCCCCTCTCACTCGGCCCCGGGCTGCGCCGCAGACGGCAGCAGCTCCCGCTCCGCCCGAGCCGCCTGACCGCCGGGCCGGGGTGCTAACCGCGGGGCCC